CCAATCGTGAATCACGAATCACGAAACGTGAACTAAGCTGACCTCACATTGGTCGTGATTCGAATCACGATACCCGCATGCATAGCTTCGCTCTTCCTATCATTATCCAGATTATATCTCAGCTCAAAGTAGCACGGCTTTTTCTTTCGCCCTCTCTTCACGCTCCCCTCTCACTTCGGCAGACACCTCCGCTTCATCTCTCCATACTCGAGCGCTCAGACTCTCATTCAGCAGCAGATCTTTCCAGTGGTCTACAACTGATTGGAGCGGAATATCTGAGACAAGGATTGTGAGAAGTCGTGTCTGCCTCTCGATACCATCACATGAGACAAGACTGACTCGTAGTTGCTGGCTGACGGTATTAAAACCCCTTGCGGTTGTGATCATAGTGAATTGTACAAAGGACAGTCTTCTTGACTCACTTTCGTGATTGTTTTTGTGATTGGATCCAAGTTCCTCGACGCGAGTCGTCAGCATTTGAAGCGCAAAATCAATAGGTGAGCATCACGATTCACCATTTTTGCGTACGTTGGCCAAACCTGCATGAACGCCAGCAAATGCGTATTCTGGGGCCGAGGTCAAGCATCACGCCTCGTCCGGATCGGACTTGATTGCGACCGCGTCGTGGTGCTCTAGCGAAGAGAGCTCGTGTCGCCTACGCAGGCGGTTTCTGAACGGCTCCGGGGCCATCATCGTGCGCGCAAGACATTCATCAGATTCGTGACTCGTCGTGCAGCAGGCCAATGCGCACGTCGCCATATCTCGCTCACAACATTTTCCGTACGGCCGGCTACATGAGCTACCGGGCACGCGGAAAGAGCTACCGGTATCATAAATGCGCTGCACTCACAATCGTGAAGTGCCGCCTGACTGCGTAGGGCCTTGACATGGCTTGCCAAACCATCATCACTCACTACTCGGTCGCGGCTAGCCCACGGGCTTGCGCAGAACAGCGACGTGGTTGCCCGCTCAGTGACTGCGAACCAAACTTAGCGAGCAGCAGAAGTCTCACAATCAACAATCAGGAGTTAGGATTAAAATTGACCTTCAGAGCAATTGCGTCCACGCAGTGCTCAACGATCACTTGATTATTGCTCACCACTCACAACGTCCTCGAGATGAGCTCGCTGGCAACACACCGACTTTTGGCCGAGCTACCTAGCGTCTCGGCTGCTCGCTTCTTGCCGCCTTCCTCCAAAGAGGCAGGCGAAGAGCTTCTCAGTGCGTCCTATTACGATGAGACATCACGGTGAAGAGCTGTACCTCTTCGTGACTGATCACAACAAGACTGTCTCGCCTCCCCTTCGACTTGATCATCACATGCAGGTGTTCAGCTCGATTTGTCCGTTCGCTCCCACGCGACACTCTCGCGCAACAATCTCCAGGCAAGCCTCGTCGTCTCGGCCAAGCAAGGCAATGTCTTGCACAGCAGCACAGTAAACGTGGACTCGACCATCAAGGCTACTCTGCACGCTGCCTCTGCGAGCGGAAGAAGGGTCGTGCTTCGTGAGAGGTCGGATGCGGATGCCGGGGCAAAACATGCGGGCGGGCGCGGCAAGAAGAGCGTTGAGCTGTGGCAAGGAGCGACGCTGCTTCGCGAGGTGCACGTAAACGACGTTCATGGATCTTTCTGCATCGGAGGTGAGCGAAAGGGGGAAAGGTGGGCGACTCTGCGCGCTCACCCGCAAGGAGCCCCCCGGTCCGCGCTTTGCATGCAGCTGCTGACTGCGAGGGCATCGACTTTGCACGTGCTCAGAACCCTACGGGAGCTCGTCCCTGTGCCCTTTGACTGAGGACGCCGCTCTGTACGTCGCCGATGCCAAAGCGGCGGATAAGCCCGACCCTTTCCCCGCTTATGATGCGAGGTCGGGGTCAAATGAGACTCGCACCGAGGATCGACTGAAAGCTTTCTGGTACGAAGAACCTTTGGGTGAGAAAAGTGGGAGCGTCCTCCGCCCTCGCGTGTTTCTCGTGCGTTTCAACACAAAGACTGCTGCGCAAGTGTCTGCCCAGCCAGAAATTTCACAGCTCGACCTTTCGCGCCTAACCGAGGCACTTGGCAGAGGTGCAGGCGAGGTGCCGCACGCCCAGCCAGCTTTCAGTACGGACGACTCAGGACATGCTGCAGTGGTTGCGCACGTCTACCTGGGCATCCAAGATGGACGTCAGCTGGGCATCATCTACTGCACCAACCGGCCATCCATCCTGATCCGAGTTGCTGTCCCATCCGCCCCCAGGGATGACGCGAAGGACACTACGTCTGAGCGCAAGCCTGCTGCGCCCGTCAAGACGGCTTGGATCCCGAATGGAGCAGAGTGTTTGAGCGCGGTGATCGGAGCCTCTACGCGAAGTGTGCGCGTGCCGGATGCCGGGAAGTCCGAAGTGGTATACCTTCAATCGCCTGAAGGTGGTCCGCACAGCGACGAGTCTCAGCTACGATGCAAGTTGCAAAATGCAGATCAAGTCGTCAATTTAGCACCAGAGGATGGGGATGCGGGTGCATTCCCAGGTCTTTTTGCGGGCTCTTTGCCTGCGTCCTGCTTTCTATCCTTGGATGGCACAGGCAAGCCGACGCATCTAATCAGCAACACGCTGTGGGGGAGCAAATCGACTTCGCTCGTGGTGCCAATCTCAGGCAGCGGGCCAGCAAACATTCTCAGGCCGATTCTTGCGAACGAACAGGCTGGCGAGCTGCCGTACAGCTACAACGCGCTGGCGACGAACGGCCAGCGCCACGCGCTAATCTCTCGTTCGTGTCAGAGTACGCCGCTGCAAGTGTTTCTAGTAGAATTAGGCAGCGATGCAAGCCCCAAGAATTCTCTGTTGATCTGGAAGGCGGTGGATGGTGTGGCAGATCACCCTAGTAAGTGCAGCGAGCGAAGCACGAAACCTCCTTTTGGGCACTCTGATGCCGATAAGATTCTGTATGCCCCAAAGCTGTCAAGAAACTCTCCGAAATTCGTGCTTTGGTGGCCACTATTCCTGGGACCGAACAAAGGGCCCTCAAAAATCCTATACCCATAGAAGCCGTACTATGGAGCGCGGCCACGGCTGGTTCGGTTGATGCAGCACGGCCGTGTCTCATTGTAAGTTCGGAGAGATCTGTGTCACAGCCCAGCCTCTGAAAGCTCCTTTCTATATGCGTAGTATCCCCACGGAGGACCTCACTCGGCACTCACCACCGACTTTGCGCCCAATATCGCGGCCATGTGTTTGGAAGGCTACAACATCATCGCTCCAAATTACCATGGCTCCCTAGGCAGAGGATCAGAGTTTGTGAGGGCTTTGGTAGGCAAGTGCGGGGATCTCGATGTGCGAGACTGCGTTGCTACGGCCGAGTGGGCCATCTCGAAAGGTCTAGCCCAGCGGGACAAGCTGCTGGTGATAGGTGGATCCCACGGAGGGTTCCTATCTGCTCATCTGATCGGTCAACATCCCGACTTGTTCAAAGCAGCGGTGATGAGGAATCCAGTCATCGACGTGGGCGCTATGATCTCCACGACGGACATTCCAGATTGGTGCTTTGCAGAATTCGGTCTGTCCTTTCCTCTTCATAGTTCGCAAGGCTCGACACCCGTCACTTTGTTGCCCGAGCAAGCTCAGCGCTTGTATGATGCTTCTCCCATCAAGTACGTCGACCAGGTCAAAGCGCCTGTCTTGCTCCAGCTAGGCCTCAGCGATCGGCGAGTACCTCCTCAGCAGGCCAAGACTTTCTACCACGCCCTCAAGGGCACAGGTCGTCACGTTCAAATGATTGCCTTCCCGGATGCGGATCACGCCCTCGACACAATCGAGGCGGAGAGCATTTGCCACGAAGCTTCCCTCGCCTTCTTTCGCGATGCTTTGAAACAATAGCGCGCACCTGCAAGTGGCGCGTTCTCCAAAATGTTGGGCGATTACGCCAGGCTCCAAAACGCTTCAGAGGACGTGCATGGCACCGTTGATGAACATCAGCTGCAATTTCATAATATCAGAGCGAATCTATATTGAACAATTGACATCCATAGCAGGTCGCAAGTGGTCAGATTCACATTTAGAGCACAATTGAAGCCGTCCCCGCGCATGATATACAAGGGCATAGAAATCACTTCTTGCCTAAACCGGGGAGTGCAAAGACTGAAGTGCAGAAGAGGCTCGGCGTGAGCGCGCAGAAAAGGAGTGGCCTTCAGGTCGCGACTCACATTCAAAGACTTTCTCGGCAGGCACACCATCTCCCCTTCTGCCTTCCAGTATGCCCATCTTTGTACCTCGAGTGATGCCGACCACTGCTCCGCTCTCGGCGCACACGATCGGCCCGCCACTGGAGCCGGGAGGGGGAAAGTTGGGCACTCCTCGAGTAGCTCGTCGACGCTCTTCGGCAGAATCGGAGGTGGGCGGGGAAGAGTGCAAAGCTGGCGGATTGGAGTGAGACAGGACCAATTTGAAATCGAGCTGTGCTAGTGTATCGTATGTACCCGTCTGCATGCAGCGAATGATTGCAGATGTCAACTCATGGGACTGTAAAATTGGCCAAGTATCCATCCCCGCCCACTTACTCTTGCTTCTTGACCATAATCATCTTTGTATTCGACCAATCTAGCTCGACCCCATCGGGATCGTGCGGCGTCATCCCTCTCTCTACTGACAATCTCTGCTTCTCTTCCTTTCGGAGGAGGCAGAGAGGTAGAGAGCGTCAAGCCCGAACCTTCTACAGAAGAGGTTTGCGTACGTGTCGCGCCACCGGGGCCCTCCAAGCTCGAACTCCCAGCGCCCGTGCCACTCTGGGTTGGAACAAATGCAAAGGGCGGAACTTTTGCTCCCGCATCGTCCTCGTAGCCCCAGAAGCTGCTGACTGCTAGCTCTGTGCCAACAGTGGCAGGATAAGGGGAGAGAGGAAGCGTGCGCAGGGTGGTCGGGGCAGCAGATAGCGAGCTCGAGCTTGCCTCGACATCAGTCGGCAAGATGGAGGGTAGGATCGGCTTGTCCGAGAGCTGCAGCAGCACCAGATCGGACCTGGGAAGCGAAGACAGCAGTTGCCTGATCGGAAAGATGTGGCCTTGCCGCGTGATGGCCAGTGCGACAGAGTCGTCCCCAATAGACTTCGCGCCGTTGGAGGATGGCGAGCTCCTAGGGGGCACGGGAAGCGATGCTCGCAGCTGAAGGAGGCGGACAATTCCGGCTGGTGAGTCAAGGAGGACCTTTCTCCGAAGCATCTCGCTTTGACTCACGGTGTGGGCGCAAGAGATGACGAGCGCGCCCTTCTCCTCTCCCCCTTGCGCCTCGGTCAGCCTCTCGCCGCCTTCCACTGCGAAGCCGGAGCAAACACTGATTCGTTCTGTGCCCCGCTGACCAGTCAGACCGGCTACGTAAGCGATGAGCAGCACGCCATCATCGTGACTGGCTTGCAAGTGAGCTTCTGAGCTGTCTGCTCCAGTGATGCGTACGCGACGCTCCGGTGCAGGTGTTGATTCGTAAGGCAGTTCGATGGGGAGTTGCGTACCCGCCCGATCTTCGAATTGATGAAGCAAGACGTGGAGATCGGTGGATCCTCGTGCGTGCACAGCTCTGGCAGCAGCCAAAACCCTCTCGTCCAGCTCGTTGCGACCATTCATTGCATCGACGGGGTGTGGCGTCTCGCGGTCCACCGCTTCTTCTCCCCGCTTTGCCATCGACTTTCGTGCTTCTTCCATCGGATCGATCGGCGCGTCGGGCGGCGAAAAAGCTCCGTCGAGCTCCAGATTGCGCGTGGGTATGTCGCTGCTGCCAAAGCGACCGCTTCGCCTCACTGCTCCCATAGCTGCCGCATTGCGTGCTCTCGTCGCACTTTGGCCACCCCGACTCCTATCCGCGGGACCGGAACGATGCTGATGCTGATGCTGATGCTGCTTCAAGAGTTGCGAGAGGTCGTTGGGATTGTTGGGTCGAGCATTTCCTGTCACGACCAATCCTGAACCTTCACCTTGTCTGGGTGGAGCTGGCGCGGATACACCCAGCAAGGCGTCGACGCTGGAGGAGGGGTTGACTGGCTGCGCTCTTCGAGCCAGCGAGGTGTGGAGGTGCCGAGCTTGAGCGGCACCAAGTCGCACCAAGGCGGCGCTTTCGCTAAGACGAGAAGCTGAGGCAGCAGACATGCTAAGGAATTGCTGCAATTGTTCTGCAAAGATTGGAGTGACAGGCTTGGAGGACGAGTGGTGGAAGATGACGCGGGGCCCGTGTTTCAACGATGCTGACAGCAGCGTGTCAGAGTGGATGGCGAGCGAGCGAGCGAGAGAGCGTGGCGCGGACGAGCTGATGCAGAGCGTGCGTAATCCGATAAGCTGGTCATGCAAGCAGCGACCATACAGTGTGAGTACAAGTCCTGATTTCAACGTCGCGCACTCGATTGAAATGCAGCAATAACGAATCAAGAAGCGAAGCGCAAGTGACTCGCAGCTTATTCGAAAGGGCGGATCACGCAAGACTCGGACGTCAAGCTCGCGAATATTCTGACTTGACTCCATTCACGCTTGCGTGCTACGACAAATCCTGAATCGCGTCCAGCTGCTGCTGCGCGAGGCTGAAGAATCTGGCGCTCGCGCTCGCGGGCGCGCGCGTACCTGCTGCTGCTGTCTGTGCAGCCCAGCCGCTCGTCGCACATCACGCGCCTGCGACTCGGGCGTCTGCCTCATCGCCCGCCTTTCCTCGCAAGCACAGGCCGTCTGGCTGGTCCAAGATAGCATCCCACCTCGACGACTGCGCCTTTTGCCAGTCGACCAGACCGTCCCTGCACTCTCATCCACTCTTGAGGGCTGACAACATCCTCATCTTACTCTCGCTCACCGGTATATCAGCACTATCGCTCAATCTGCGGTAGCATTCGGTTCCTCTCGAACGGATTAGACCGCGCTCGACTGCGCTTTTCCTCTCCGAGGTCATTCAGCGCTTGGCACGCTCGTCATCGACAGAGCTTCGTAAGCTGGAAGGCTAATTTGTGGGATCAGATTGTAGTACGGTGGCATAGTCAATTCCCCAACGAGTGGACGGTAGCTTGGTGCACTTGGTCGGATTGGTCGTGCTGAGTGTAGAAAGGGTCGGCAGTGAGGGTCTGGGCCAACGAGCGCTAGCATAGCTTGCCGGGCCCCGGTGGCAATTGCAAAGGGTCGAGTCAGCCGGTCATCCATCTATGACAGGTGACTTGTAGAGGTGAGCTCTCTCAAAGTGCTCTCGTGCCTCCGCGCGCAAGGTGGCAGTGGACAGTGAAAGCATCGCTTCGCTGAGCAGGGTTGGCATTCAAGCGACCAGATCTGCCAAGCGCCTCGCTTTACGAGGACCATTCGCTTCTTCGCCGTTACGCTTCCAAAGTACGTTCAGTCTCAACTCCTTCTCTTCGTGGAAGTGAGCGGAAGCTGCTTCATCTCAATGGTTGCTAACTGCTGTTGACACCTCGCACGACGCTGGCCTTTCGCAGCGCCTTCTCAAGCTTTTGCTAGGGATCGCAAAGTAGGCACGCTCATTGGGAACGAGTACCCTGCACTTGGCATCTGGTGCACGAGACGGAAGGGACATTGGCGAGAACAAGCCGCTTCGATCTGCTCAGTGACGTGGTGGAAGATCCACTCTTAGCCCAAGATGGCTGCACACGGACGCTTCACGGAGAGTGCTGCCACGCAGCGCCTCGTCAGAGAGGTACAGTTTGGCGTTCTAAGCCCGGATGAGATTGTAAGTGGGCCACTCGTGCAGATGCCTATGAACTCCGCGGTGGATGGCAGTGTGGGGGCGAAACGTGCCATCCGTAGCGATGAATGACCCTCGTCTTGTGGAAGGATAATGTTCCCATCGAACCAATGAAGATGGCAGTCTTCATCGGCACGCACCCTACGTCCTGCTGACGCAGTCCGTTCGTCATTCCACTTCATCGCACCAGCGAGCCATGTCTGTTCTCAAGGTTGAGCACCCTGAAACGCTGGACGAGAATGGCAAGTACAAAGTGGGCGGTCTTTCGGATCCTAGACTCGGTACCATCGATCGCAACTTCAAGTGCCAGACGTGCGGCGAGGGAATGGCCGATTGTCCAGGTCACTTTGGGCACATCGAGCTTGCTCGCCCCGTATACCATCAGGGGTTCATCAAGCTGATCAAGAAGATCCTTGAGTGTGTCTGCCTTCGTTGCGGCAAGCTGCTGGCTGATGAGGTGAGTGCAGACTCTCTGGCTGCGGCACGTCTTTAACACCTCCTGACATTCATTGGGCGCTTGGTGAATTAGCACACCGATCCGGTGTTCAAAGCTATCCTGGAACGTACGCGAGGGCCGAAGGCGCGCAACAAGCGATTGCAGGCAGTGTGGGCGCACTGCAGCAAGATTTCCGTGTGCCAGACAGACGACCTGAAGGAGGAGGATCCACTTGCAGATGTTCAGGTCGAGGTGCTCGGACATCATGGATGCGGACACGTCCAGCCCAATATCAGGCGTAATGGGCTAGAGATAAACACCGTTCCTAAGAAGGGCAGCAAAGTGGAGGACGGCGAGGCGGCGGAGGAAGCTGACAAGAAAGGCAGTTCTCAACCGAACAAAACGAAGTTCTCTGCTGCTGATGCACAGCAACTCTTGAAGAAGATGAGCGACGAGGACATCGAGCGCCTGGGCTTGTCCACTGTCGATGCACGTCCCGAGTGGATGATCCTGACTGTCTATCCTGTTCCTCCTCCTCCTGTCCGTCCGGGAGTCGCGGAAGGCACTACAGGCAAAGGAGAGGACGATTTGACTTACAAACTTGCAGACATCATCAAAGCGAGCGCTCAACTCAAGCGCTTCGAAAACGAAGGCGCACCTGCTCACATCATTTCAGAGTTCGAGCAAGTTCTACAATTCCACTGCGCAACTCTCATGGACAACGAGTCGGCCGGTATACCAAAGGCCATGCAGAAGTCAGGACGACCGGTGAAATCGATCCGTGCAAGACTGAAAGGCAAAGAGGGGCGTCTGCGTGGGAATCTCATGGGCAAGCGCGTGGATTTTTCAGCGCGTACTGTCATCACTGGTGACCCCAACTTGGAGCTTGATCAGGTTGGAGTGCCCAAAAGCATCGCACGCAACTTGACCTATCCCGAAAAAGGTGAACACGATTGAGCGCCATGATCAAGATTTGGTGTTACTGACCTCGTTGTGTCCTCCTTGCAGTCACTCCGTACAACATCAAGGACCTGCAGGAGCTTGTTCGACGAGGACCAACCGAATGGCCGGGTGCTCGTTACGTGATACGTGACACTGGAGAGCGCATTGATCTCAAGTACAACAAACGATCAGACATGGCCTTGCAGTATGGCTGGACGGTGGAGAGACATCTCAGGGATGGGGACTACGTTCTGTTCAATCGTCAACCAAGTCTTCACAAGATGTCCATGATGTGTCACCGTGTCAAGCTCATGGACTTCTCGACTTTCCGACTCAATCTATCTGTCACGCCACCCTACAACGCTGACTTCGATGGTGACGAGATGAATCTGTAAGTGGAAAGCTATGGTGTTGCGCTGGACGATTGCATTCCAGCCTAACGAGGAGGTCGCGGCTCTACCTTTAGGCACGTTCCTCAGAGCGAGGAGACCCGAGCTGAGCTCAGTCAGATCGCTTGGGTACCGAGACAGATCGTATCCCCACAGGCAAACAAGCCAGTCATGGGCATTGTGCAAGACACGCTCTGCGGCATTCGGAAATTTACGCTTCGCGATTGTCTTTTGGACTATGACGCGGTTCAGAACCTACTGCTTTGGGTGCCTGAGTGGGACGGCACCGTGCCCATGCCTTGCATCATCAAGCCTAAGCCGTACTGGTCGGGCAAGCAATTACTGTCTCTCTGCATCCCAAAGGGCATCAATGTCAGCAACGGAGGAGTCATCAACCGCCAGAAGTGCAACGTCGATGACAGCGCCGTGGCCATTGAGAACGGCGAGCTGCTCACCGGCGTGATCAATAAGAAGGTGGTCGGTGCAGTTGCAGGTGGATTGATCCACGTCATCTTCAGAGAGCGCGGACCCATCGTCTGCCGCGACTTCTTCGGTGGTGCACAGCGTCTTGTGAACTACTGGCTGCTGCACAACGGATTCAGCATTGGTATTGGCGATACCGTCGCAGACGACAACACCGCGAAGAAGATCACGGACGAGATCATGAACGCCAAAGCCAAAGTGGCGCATCTGATCGACGACGCGAAGAACGACAAGCTGAGGACCAAGCCGGGCATGACTCTCCGAGAGTCGTTCGAGGCTGAAGTCAATTCCATCCTCAATAAAGCGCGTGATACGGCCGGTACAGAAGCGGAAAGAGACTTGCCGGATTGGAATAATGTGAAGCAAATGGTCATTGCCGGTTCCAAAGGTTCTTTCATCAATATCTCTCAAATGTCTGCCTGCGTCGGCCAGCAAAGCGTCGAGGGCAAGCGCATTCCCTTCGGATTCCGCCATCGCAGCCTGCCGCACTTTACAAAAGACGATTTCAGTCCCGAATCTCGTGGCTTCGTCGAGAACTCCTACATGCGTGGTCTGACTCCTCAAGAGTTCTTCTTCCACGCCATGGCGGGTAGAGAAGGTCTGATCGACACAGCCGTCAAGACGGCTGAGACCGGATACATTCAGCGGCGTCTCGTCAAAGCGCTCGAGGATGTCATGGTCCACTATGACGGTACGGTGCGGAATTCGACCAATAGCGTCATCCAATTCGCCTATGGAGAAGACGGTATCGACGGTGCTATGGTCGAGCGCCAGCATCTCATCACACACCGCTTGACGGACAAGCAGTTCCACGATCAATTTCACGTGGATCTGCACGAAGCAAATGGTGGCTACAGGCCGGGAACACTCCTTCCAGGCCTGGCAGAATGGTCTCCAGAGCTTCAATCCCTGGTCGACGTGGAGTGGGCTCAGCTTTGCGAAGACAGAAACCTCTTGCGCTCTTTCATTTTCAAGACTGACCGCAACGACGTGCAGCTGCCAATGAACATCGCGCGCCTGATCGTCAACGCGAAGCAAGAGTTCCGCGTTGACGACCGCATGCCCACCGATCTCTCACCAGCTAAGATCATCACGGATCTACGCACTTTGCTCGACAAGCTTGTCGTGGTGCGTGGAGGAGATGCTATCTCGCGCGAGGCGCAATTCAACGCCACCATCTTGTTCAAGACCCATCTGCGAGCCACATTCTGCAGCCGATACGCCATCGAGCGCCTTCATCTCAATAGCGAGGCGTGGGACTACATTCTGGGCGAGATCGAAATTCAGTTCGCGAAGTCTGTGGTTGCTGCTGGCGAGATGTGCGGCACCCTCGCTGCTCAGAGTATCGGAGAGCCAGCTACGCAAATGACGCTCAACACCTTCCACTACGCTGGTGTAGCGAGTAAGAATGTGACACTTGGTGTACCTCGCCTCAAGGAAATCATCAACTGCGCGGAGAACATCAAGACACCTTCCCTCGCCGTGTATCTCACCCCAGAATACAGCGGCAGCGAGGAGCAGGCCAAGCGTATCACTGCGCATCTTACCCATACTACGCTGCGCACCGTCACGGAGGGTGTTGAGATCCATTTTGATCCGGATCCCTCAGCGACGAACATCGAAGAGGACCGTGACTTCGTCGAAGCTTTCTTTGCCATTCCTGACCCGGAGATGGAAGCATCCTTGCCAAAGCAACAGTCTTGGCTGCTCCGCCTCATTCTGAGCAGAAAGGAGATGCTCAACGCTGAGCTGACAATGGCAGAGGTCGCCGCGAAGATATCGGAGAAGCTTGGCGAAGAAGTTTTCGTCATGCACAGTGAAGACAATGCAGACAAGCTGGTTCTGCGCATTCGTGTCGTCGAGAACGAGCACGATAAAGAGGCTGAGGGGCAGGAGGACGTTCTACTGCGCAAGATTGCGGACCTCATCCTTGGAGACCTCGATCTCAAAGGTGTCACGGGCATCAAAAAAGTGTTCATTGTCGAGCAAGACAAGACGCATCAACGCATCAATGCTGAGGGTGGGTGGGAGCCTGTCAAAGAGTGGATGCTCGACACCGACGGATCCAATCTGAAGGAGGTACTGGCGGTCGAAGGTGTCGACAAGGTCCGCACAGTGTCAAACAACTGTGTCGAAGTCTTCAAAGCCTTTGGGATTGAAGCTGCTAGATTGTCCCTGTTGCGCGAAGCCAAAGCAGTCATCGAGTTCGATGGGTCCTACGTCAATTATCGCCATCTGGCCCTGCTTTGCGACCTGATGACTACGCAAGGCCATCTGATGGCGATCACCCGTCACGGCATCAACAGGACCAATCAAGGCGCCCTCATGAGATGCACCTTCGAGGAGACGGTCGAAATTCTGATGGATGCCGCTTCTACCGGTACCCTCGACGATTGCAAGGGCGTCGCAGAAAACGTCTTGCTCGGTCAGATGGCCCCCATGGGCACTGGGGCATTCGAGGTGCACCTCGACGTAGATCAACTCAAGGACGTCATCGTGGACTTGCGCCACACCCAAGCAGCTGCGATGAACGCTAGCTTCAATGCTCAAAACGGCAGCAAGACCCCGGGCGGGGCCCTCACGCCTTACGACTCCTCCAGCCCGTCGAGCGGCTATATGATAGACGACGCTGGAAGCGGTGGCTTTGCTTTCTCTCCTTTGGCTATGCAACAAGAAGAGCAGTATAGCGATTTCCTCGGTACTGGAACTACGCCGATGCGAACGCCAATGGGAGGTTACTCTCCGGGTCAAGGTCTCGGATACTCCCCTTCCAGTCCAATGGGCTACTCGCCAGCATCGCCGGCGTATGCAGCTACTAGCCCAGCCATGGTCAGCCCTTGGGTACCGGGCGGTGCAGGCGGCACAAGCCCAGGCTACAGTCCCACTAGTCCTCGCATCAACTTTGGCAATGGTCCCACCTCGCCAAGCTTTTCGCCTGCGTCGCCAAGCTTCTCCCCCTCGTCGCCGAGCTACTCTCCGCTCAGTCCCCGCGCCAATGGATCGCCGACGAGCCCATCTTGGAGTCCCACGAGCCCACAGTTCAGTCCCACGAGTCCACAGCAGCAGTACTCGCCCGCCTCGCCCAAGTGGAGCCCAACCTCGCCGTCGTATTCGCCGACGTCGCCCCAATACTCGCCCACTTCGCCGCGAGGTGCTGGTGGACGCTTTGGACCTACAAGCCCTGCCTACTCGCCGACGTCGCCTACTTATAGCCCGGCATCGCCATCGTACTCGCCAACGAGCCCACGTCACGGAGGTCCAACGTCTCCGCAGTACTCTCCGACGTCGCCTTCATTCTCGCCGACCTCGCCCCAGTACTCACCAACGTCTCCTCAATACTCCCCCACGTCACCACAGTATTCGCCGACTTCTCCTCAATTCTCCCCCACCTCGCCTATTGCTGGCGGCGCGGCTTCGCCTGGTGGTGCAACGTCGCCACAACGCAGGTCCCGCTTCAAAGAAGGCGGATCACCATGGGCATCGCGCCGCTAAGCTCCACTGCGCCTTTGACGTGAGCAAGCCGCCTCGATGCAGCGACGTTCGCAGCCTCACAAAAAGCTCCTCCAAAACAAATGGAATCCTCTCACCTGATGTACGCCTCGACCTTGAAAGCACAATACAGTACCACTTGCAATATGACTTAGCGACCTTTCACCAGCCTACGCCTACATTGGCGCCCTCTTCTACTTTGCTGCGCTTACTTTCGAAGGCACGATCCGCATTGCAATGGGTGATCGTGTTGCGAGACTGGTCGGCAAGACATTTTGCAAACGCTTGTCTTGAGAATCGAAGGTCGGTGTGAGAGTGACGTTGCTCTTTTGAAAGCCCTAACGATAAGCCGGCGTCATCGGCAAGAAAGCTTAAACCGGGAAATGAACAGGTTGGGAATCAGGCAGCGGCGTTTGCTACAAGGCGAAGTTCGGCATCGTTGCCGGAGAGATCTAAGGTGACGGTAAATCCAATGGGAAGCATTCTGTAGTTCTTGACCTTGCACCAGAAATCGAAGCAAGCATCAGCTCGCACGAAGCTGACAGTCACACGACATGCTTCCTGAAGTCACTCACAATGAAGCGGGATACATTGGACCTCGGGAGCTCGGTGCACAAAGATGCAGCAGCGAGCAGCTGAGGGATGTAAGAAATGCGAGGTTGAGCGGATGTTGGCCGAAGAGTAGATAGTTTGCGAGTTGCATGCAAAGGCGTTGATATGTGATCGATGTTCTGCGCGAACATGCTCGGGTGGAGCAGCGAGGCCTGTCCTACGCTGCGACGAGCGCGGTCGCAGAACGGATGCTGACCAGGCGCTTGAGTGGTGCATTGAAAGATGGACGGTCAGGTCTCGCGACGCGAAGGATGCGGTCGAGTCGGATCCGGGCCGTACTGTCGCTGAAGATGGGGGACGTCCTGCTGCTGGACAGATTCGGATGACTGCGTGGGATACGACTGAGCATAAAGCGTTCCGGGGGGCTGTGGCAGACGCTGGGTTGGCCAGCCTTGGCTAGGTCGCAAATCGACCTGCTGCTGCGGAAGGTCGCCGTAGCCGGCCACTGCTACTTGAGGTGGGCTTGAAGCTGAAGCATACGGCGGCGCGACCAGCGACAGCTGGGCTGGCTGGTCTGTCGGCAAGAAATTCCGCGAGACGGAAGGCAGAACTGCAGAGCCAGGCTGGTTTGTTGGCACACCAGGATACACCGGGTAGGCAGAATTTGCAGTTTGCATCATCAGGCTCATGTTGTACATTGGGCTTTGTCCTTGCCCGGCCTGTGGTTGCGCAGAAGGGAGAAGGAGACGTCAGCTGTGAGCAAGGATACCATCTATACCGGCACCCTTCCGGTGGTTCCGACGCTCGTGCCCTCGACCTTCTTGCCGGGTAGGTCGCGCTGCACAGGCAGCTCACCTGCGCGGGAAAGCCTGCCAGCATAGGCATACCGTAAGCATCTGTGCTTTGAACCATGCCAGAAGCCGCAGCTGCACGCGCCGCTATCGCTGCTCTTCGCATGTTGGTTTCCAAACGATCCTTGCCCCATCCCGTTTTGATGCGCTGATTGTGCAAGACATGACCAGCGGCTAGAACGATTGCTCTGGTGGCATTCTCGTGAGTGTCTAGACGCACAAATGCGAACCCCTTGTCCGGCTAAGCGATGCAAAGAAGAGCAAGGAGATCTTGCAAGGCGTCAACAGTCACGCGGACCAGAACCACCATCCACGGGCGTGCGAAGCCGGGCTCACTTGCATCCTGACGTCCTGAATTTGGATGGGACTGAATTGAGAGAAGATCATGACGAGATCGCCAGCGCTCGTCATGGGTGGCAGATTCCCGACATCTGAGGTCGTATGGGCCGAAAGGTAAGCTCGTGTTGGCTCGGCGCGACCGAGACAGCGCTCACAAATTGTCGTGTTGTCAAGCGGCGCTGAGTTGTACACCGTTTGATAGCTCAGCGGCGTGCCCGAAGCAGCGCCTGCTGTTGGCGGCATGCCTAGCCCTATGGCATGGCTCGGTCTCGGCGCCGGCACTTGAGGCTTGGCTGCTGATTCGCTGGCCGGCTTCTTGACAGTTGCCCCTACAGGCGGTAAGGAATAAGCTTAGCCGTAGCGCAGAGTTGAAAAGGTTGATCATGGTGACGCTCACAGTTGACGCGGACTGGGCGCGCACCAAGCACCTCTCCATTCATGACAGCGACTGCAGCACAGGGTGACGAGTCAGATGTTGAGCGCGGAGCATAGCAGACCCAACGCAGAGGTACCTTGAGTGCTCACTCGCTTGTTCCGCTTCGGCTCTTGAATGAAAGGTCACAAAGCCGTAGCCTCGTGATTTGCCGCTCGATGTGTCCCACTATGGAGGGAGGTATGGTCGAGCAGAGAGTTGTGAGGCGGTCTGCAGCCGGCAGATGGGAAAGACTGAGAACGCACCATCACACGAGCATCGATGAGAGTTGGGAACGACGCAAATGCAGATCGTAACGCTGAGTCATTGATGTTTTTGCTGAGGTCTCCCACGACTGAACAGATGAGTTCGACAGGGCGCCAATTAGAGTTGACCGAGCTCTGTGAGGCATGCTGGATGGAAGCTACTCACAAATCTCGTAGCCACCAGCAGGCTCGACTTGCTGCGTGGTTGGACCACTACCAGGAGACGCAGTGAGAGCTTGGCTGCTGCTCGATGCGACTGTGAGCCCAGCATCGCCTCTTGTGAGCGGAGCGTTCGAGGCAGTCCGGGCATGCGCCGAAATGTCGTAGTGTTGATCAGGCGGAAGTGTGAAAGATCCGAGCTGTGGCGAGTATGGGTGCGAAGAGCTGCTGGTCATGGGCATACCGCTCGGCAAATCCGCAGTTCCGCGCTGAGCTTCGCTCTGACGAGCAGAGGGAGGCTGCGAGCTGCCTACGTGAGGTGATTGATGCCACTGCATGTGCACTGAAGGATGGCGATGACTCTCTATGTCAAGACCTATACCATCCGCTCGAGTCGCTGGGAGCAAGCCTTGAAGCTCGCGAAACCTCGATCTGGGGGTGACGCGGCTTTCTGCTGGAATGTATGCTGCGTGGCAGGTAGACTGGCTTGCCGGATAGGTTTCCGCAGCAGCTTAATTGGCGTTAGTCTGGAAGGATCGCGTTAATACCTCTACAGTTAGCGCTGCGTCACATCGTATCGTATGTTGCATGCTGCTAGGACGTTCGACGCCGCCAGCGCAAGGTTCGATAAGCTCACCATACAATGGATGGCATCCGACGCCCTTGATGGCCACGTAACCGACGCGTGACAAAGCGTTCGAATGTACACCGTGTGCAACTGTCTTGGCTAAGGACAAGCCGCATACAGCTTAAGCCTGGAAATCTTTTGACTGCACACGCCTTTCCACGGCCTTCTGCACGGTGTGACCGGCCTATGGACGGGCGCACAGCTCTGGGAGATTAGTGTTTGAGCCCAAAGTGGATCCAGAGGATGCCAAATCCGCAGCCCGACTCACCGATGCTCTGACCAATCACAGGCTCCTCGAGATGCTTCTGCTCAAGACGATGTTGGACGGCCGGGATGAAGAATGCTCCTTGAACCACGATGCGCGAAGCACGGCGCAGGGCTCCTGCGGGAACGATCCACCCGAATTGTCGCGATGGAGGTCACAAGGGCAGAAGGAGAACGAGAGTTGGGGACAGGTACTACAAAAGTGCAAAAGGAAAAGACGAGTGCATGGGCGAGAAGCAAGCGCGAGTTCAGCAATTTTGGACGTGCGTGTTCTGCTGGTGGTTTTGAAGAGCAGACAGACGTCGCAACGGAGCTTCGGAGTCAGGAAGAGGGACCGAGACAAATCTAACGCAAATGTGGATGAAGCCCGGATAGCGAAGGGTCTGTCAACAGTCACAGTCAAGATGTCGCGCTGGCCGTCGGTCGCATCGCAGCCCTTCTTGAGGCGGATGATGAATTCTCAAAGAACGCGTAGTCAGTCAAATCGCAAAGCCAACTTGTGGATGAAAACAGCCCACTGATAGAGCAAACGCGGACGAACGCATTTGACTGCACAAGCGGCTATAGGAAGGTCGGCGCTGCTGCATGGATGCTAATCTGAGCTGGCTGCTCGTGCTGCTTATTTGTATATGAACTACTCTTGTGACTATACTCACGACTCCTGCCGCTGCTGCTTCTGCCTTGAAACTCTGCCATCACACCCTGCACTCACGCCGCAAGGAGCCATCCAGCAGCAGCAGCACCAGCGGGGGAGGCGCAGCAAAGCCGCATTGCGCGCACGAGGCATGTATAGAAAGACCCAAACGCCGCGGCGAAGCCTCGTCTTGCTGTCTCACTTGATTGCGCTTGCTCTCCGTAAGCTCTCGCACCCACGAATGGAGTTCGCGTCGGCTGGCCGATCATCTTCAGCGATTCAGCCCGCGACGTGCCGCACATTCGCACAAGGTGTCGCAAATCGAAGACAAATGAGATGCCTACACATCACTCATGACAACAGACCTTTCGTCATTTGTCGTCTTTAATTTCTCAACCAACTTTGATTCAGTGGATGTTGTATCGTGAAGTTGGAACTGTGAATCAATGTGCCCCTCTGTCAGCACAGCGCGGGTAAGCCCGGGCCTCGTGTACCTTGTCGACTGTCCTTCCGAAGAAGGTCTTGAACGCTGCTTGCCCTTTCCCTGCTACTAGTACGACGTCTGCCTGGCAGCCCACCGCTGGCGCACCATGAAGCTTTGACGACCTTGAACGCTGACGCCTGCCGCCTGTCACGCGAACAAAGCTCCAACACGGCGGGGGTAGTCACTTGACTGGAATTGGAAGCTGACTCGTGTCCATTTCCATACACAACTACCTCGCTCGGACACCCCGCACGGGCTCCGTGCATAGACCTGTTTCCCACTGCCTTCGCGGGCTTTAGTCATCCAAGCCAGGCACCAATTGCGCTCAGCCTTGTCAGCGGTCCAGCTATGCGCGGTCGCTATCAAAGGGGGGTTCGTGCGTAAATGACAGTCATGAAATGGAGTTTACGCCTCCAATCTACGCCTCCAAGGCCTCTCAGTCATGAGTGTGGGTCTACCCGTCCCAGCATGCAGTGCACTTGTCAGCGCAGGCCCTCTCTTTCCCTCCCTTTCTAGCCGCCGTAGAGCGCTTATGACCGACTTCCGTCGATGGCCTGAAGGTCATGTCTGAGATACGTCTCATCTCGAATTTGACGATGCAGCTGACCAACATCATTTGCCGCCTGAGCGAGCGTGCGGCGCTGGCACGACAGTCAGGAGTCTTACAATATCCACCGACACCTTTCGCAAGAAGCGTCACCTCAAAGCCGCGAGTCTGATCACGCTATACCCTGCAGCGTCTGACTTCTCGAAAGCGGACTCCGCGGAGCGGCTACGCTCAAGAACGCCCTCGGTGACTGTCGCTCGTCTTTGTCCCGACTGCCATCCGACTTCTAATCTTGTCTCGCCTACAAAATCGGTGCCGTCGGCATCGGAGGACCCATGCTAGATACATGTTCAATTCTTAATTACGAATCAAGAACGCAGACGCTTAAAAAGGTATGGCAGCAAGTACTCGAGGGAATGGTCTGATAGCGTCCACACCTCGCACACTGAGGCGTGACAAGCTTGTCCACATCCAGCACCATGGGTACTTTGTGATCAAATTAGGCCGCTGAATCGGCTCAGCATTGGTGCTTTGAGCAAGGGTTCGGGATCTCAGATGGAGCTAAATCAGGGTCCGAAGTCTAGGCCTTGGGCTGCGGTAACTTGAGCGGTATTTCATTTTAGCTACACTACTGATTTATCTATGCATAGAAGCCGGCTTCTTCAAAATGCGTTCGCTGTAGTCCTACGATGACTATTCAGATTCATTACTGACAATCGCTCCGTACCGTGCTGTGTGAATTTCTGCACACACACACACACACACACACACACACACACACACACACACACACACACACACACACACACACA